TCCCTACAGTCCTGTGTGTGATGTGCAGATACTAGTGGTAATTCTGCATTTTATTGTTAATTATTTCCTCACAAATACATAACTGGCCCTTTAGAATCCCAGTAAAAGGCCACTTACTTGAGAACCCCTTTCAGTGATGCTGGGGGCTGGTGGCTCCCTAAGCAAAAGTGCCTTTACCTACTACTTTACATCGTACGTACAAGCTGTGTTAGGCCAGCCGTTCCCTTCGCAGCCTCTTCAGAAAGCTGGATCAACTTTGGCACGGTGTTAAAAACCACGCTGCTTTAATTATCCCTGGAGTTCTCAACACTGACTCAATACTGGCTTTTCCATTACTTCACCCAAAAGTTGTGTCACAATCACCACAAGTACCATTTTTCTTGCTGCTCTTCCCTTACAGCACCTCCCAGTTTCCCCCGAGTACTTCTGCAATTTTTACTGGGCATGTTTTTCCCAGTATTGAGTTTTTTTAGAACAAAAGCAAGCAGGACCTGCACAAACTCATCTCCTCTTCCGCCTCCGTGTTTGCGCCTGTTTCTCTCTTGCTCTGTGGCCCTCATTTGACGTGTTCTCCAAGTCGTGATTTCTGCCATGGCACTCCCCTCCGTTCACTTTGAGTCTGTGTTTTGGTTTGTATTGCTTTCCCTTCCAAAATGCTGCTTCTTCGAGAACCTTCACCTGACTGGCTTCCTCAGTCTCTTAAGGCTCTTGATTCTCTTCCCTGGCTCATCCCACCTCTCATCTGATTGTTGTGTATTTCCTCCTGGAAGTCCCACCTCCCGTTTAACCCCTTCACACAGTTCCTGCTTCCATGCCCTCCCTGTGCACAGCCCCTAGCAACCAGCCTCTAACCTGCAGTGACCATCCCCGGTACTGACCTCGGCAGCAGTCTTACAAGTCGCGTCTTGCACGTGTCATTACTGGCTTTCTCAGAGACCGGGGGTCCTACGGACTCGCGCTGCCTCACAACCAAAGCCATCTTTTCCTGTTCCTGCCTCTGCCTCTTCTTGCATACTGCAGTGTCATCTGTGCTCGTGTCTGCACCACACAAGACTTCCCGTCAGTGTGAGCGCGTTTCCCACAGACTCTACACGGCTCCACTCCTGCCGCTTTCCCTTTCGTTCGGCTGGAAAAACTTCAGGCGAGGGAACTCTTGGCAGAGCCTTGTTTAGAAGACAAACTGCGTGTGTGATACTACCGTCTCGTTACGCAGGGCACTGTCGTACCGTTCCTAATGATCCGCAATTCCTAACTCCGCTCCACCCAGCTCCAGGGCTGAGGAGAACATTGACGTTATTTGGGGTTTTTTTAAACTCTTGGGGAGTATGAGAATTTCAGCACTTAGGAGTAAATTGTTTTGCCTGGCTAAGATGCCAACTACCCCCTTCATGCCCTGGCTGCTGGGAGTGCTGGAAATCTCCAGGCGGCTACCTGCTGCAAGTCACATGAACTTCCCTTTGGTCTGTCTCCATTCCAGAGTAACGGTGCGCAGAGAGGGAACTTCCAGCTGGGCAGTACGGCACTGGTGTCAGCCAGGTTCCAGCACATACGGTGAAGATGGGAAGAGTGCAGGGTGAAGCAAAAAGAAAACAGCTTTTATTTGCCTGTTAAGGGCAGGCCGCGGGGCGAGAGCTGACTGCCCCTTCCGTACGCCAGGCTGGCTGACAGGCAGGAAAACAGGGTAGGTGCTGCGTGTTTTCGAGGGAAGAAAACATGCATGTATGCCCAGACCTAGAGCTGTGCTGGCATGGGGGAACGACACTGAAGAAGACATGTCATCTTCAATTCATGGGCTCTTCCTCCTTGCGCCCTCCCAGACCTCCCAGCAGCAGCTGCACTTGGCTGTCCCATACCTGAAGTGAGAGGTGCTGTGCTGGAAACACAGGTAAATGGCTTCTTTTTTTAACACTGAGGATTGGCAGTCGGTTAGTTGAACATCCCTGCTAGTGGAGGGGCTTTTTAGTCAGGAGGGAAAACTGGTGGGGCATACTTCCCGGAGCAGTACTGGGGCTGTAGGACACACCAGCTGATGAGACTTGTAATTAGATGTAACGGCCTAAATCGTCATGAAATCTCACCCGCACACAGATGTGCTTAGCCCAGTCTCTGTCTTCTACCTAGACCTTCTACCTTTGTTTAAACATTGCCCCTTGTCAGCTGCTCCTCTCCGTCATTTAACAAATGCTCAGCTCTTTATCCCTCGCTATGTGTCAGAAGGCAACCACAGTGTGAGCGTTCAGGACGCTGAAAAAACCACCTTTCTCAGGAGGCTGTTCCTCATCCCTGACCCACAAGCAACGAGGCACCTGGTACCCAGTCAGTACATCTGCCGTGTCTGTTCCTGCTGCTACAGCACGCCTCACCTAAGTTCAGAGGGCGTTGCTGAGTGCAGACGTCTCGGGGGAAACCTCGCCTGTGGGAACAGCTGCTGGATGCTGCTGGATGCTGTAGAATGGTTAGTTGCCGTATGCTGGCATCCTCTACAAACACAGACCTGACTGCTGTAGAGGGCTCGTGGAGGTTGGCAGCATGAGGTAGTGGCGAAAATAAACCCATCGTTTATTGAGCCAGCCGTGGTTTCCAAAGGCAGCTTGCCCTTTTTTGGTTAACTTGTTCCAGATTGCACACTGAACACACTTGTTACAAAGCATGTGAGAATTCACCTCAGGGTGGTTTAATTAAAAGTAACAATTCTCTGCTGTCAATATTCCGGCCGCGCTCCCGGCAGATTTCTTTCACGTGAGCTGCAGAATTGCAGAGGGCCATAAACGCTTCAAGTGGAAGGCTTGCAGGCTGCCCAAGGAAAGCGTTCGTACTGGTTGTTTCTTCCAGAATAACCTTCACACTGAGGTCAGGGGAGTACAGTGCATGCAGACTTAACAGCGGTAACCGTCATGCCCACCCCAGTGACATCACATCGTTCGTTATCTTTCCCGAAAGCCCTCTACAGCGTTAGAAACAAATCCAGGCTGCGGTTAAAGCCACCTGAGGAAGTATTTGAAGAGGCTGGAAACTACATCCACCACATCTTGAAAGATCTGATGATGTCTCAGCGGTTTTATAATCCCTTTCAGTTTGCCTCTGATGGGAACCCCATCTCCCGGGGGGATTTAATTTTGCCAGTCCATAGAGTATGTAAGAACTGCAGATGCTTTCTACTGCCTGGCGCAGCTTACCTACCGACGAGGTTGTATTTACTGCAGCATTACTCTGAAGTTACGCTGCAGGCAAGCATGTATACAGTCCGACTTACTCGCCCCTTCATTCACTAAAAATCCATAAATAATGCTTAACTTCTGTGCTACTGTACATAAGTGGGTCTTTATTCTTCCCACAAATAAATTACTTTTTCTAAAAAAACCCGGTGTTAACAAAGTATAAAAAGTAATGTCCTAACAACTACATTGCTGTGGTCATTCCGTCCTGTCCTTGGATGGCTGCAGTAAAACACGTGTTTCGTCGAAGTACTGCTGCTTCCAACACTGCCTTGTGCTGTCTTCACTAGGGAGGGGAACTCCTTGGCACTCCAGCTGCAGTTCCGTTTGAGCAGCCCTGTCCTTGAACGTCAAGGCAACCCTTGCGTAATGTTCTGAAGGAAGAAGAGAGGACATTTCAATAGAGTGTTTTTAAAGGATTACATTCGTTGTTGCTAATTTTGTATCTGCTTCTGCCTGTGTCGGAGTGAGGCCTATTTTCACGGATGACAACTGCTACGGACATCGGGCTGTTCTCCAGCGAACGCCACCCAAGTGAGCTTCCAGTTAGCAGCTGTCCCGTTCGCTCCTGCTCCCTGCAAAGCGCAGCCTCAGAAGGACTCACCATCAGGCCAGCTTCTACACCTCCACTTCAGGACAATTCTTCAGCTTGGGACCTGTAAGAAGATCAGAGGGTTCTCCTTGTTAGTACTGGAGATAATTCACAGTGCGACTGCTCATGACAAACTCTCCCCTGAAAACTGAGAGGAGCGTTATGTAATCTAACAGTAGGGACGTGCATGTGAGTGTCCCAGGGACTGGGTTTGTTGGTTGGTTGGGGATTTTTAAATAAACTTTTCATCAAGCTCTCTGCTTGCTACGTTCCTTGGTTTTGTTTTCCTTGCGGGAATATTCAGGCTGATTAGTTACAAAACATAAACCACTGGTTTTCTTGCAGGCCTTGAAATGGGCCCCATAAAAGTCCTGTTTTCACCTCTGAAGTTTGTAAGCAGGACAGAGCATGCCCGTGACCTTCAGTTACGCAACCCAGCCTGCTGGAACGCACGCGTTAGGCGTTACTGCACAGAAGTGGCCTGCAGCCTGCCACCGGAGAGGCACTGTGTCAGCCTAAGCATTAAGCCAGCTGGAGTTTGGGCTAAATTCGGCTCATTGTGTTCACTAAGCCCTTCGGTTTGTATTCTGACTGTTGCTCTAGCTCAGCCAAACCAGCACAACTGTTCATTATTTCCCTATCTAATTGCAAGGGCTGATAAGATAACCGACTTCCCTCAGCTTCAGCCATGGGATGTTACCACTGAAGCTGACAGCAGGTACAAGAGTCCTGCAGCGTGCGTGTTTCCAGGCTGAGCCCTTTCCGCTGCCAACAACAAATTCTGTTAGCTTGAACTGAGAATCCAGTTTTCCAAGGCTCAGCTTTCACAAAAAGTTGTCCAGCTGTCAGTGGTACTTACTGCCGGTCACCGGGATGGACATGAAAGGTACCAAGTCCAAGCTTAGCAACTGCGAAAATAGTTTTTCAGAGGTTTCAGAAATGGAACTGAGCTCCAATTAGCAATTTTTCCCTTCTATTTGTAAAAGCGTTCAGTGGGGGAGAGTGTAACATTTGCCCTGAATAGAAGAGAGATCACATCTCCAGTTCCAAGAAGCCTGCTTTCTCACTCCCTAGTAAAAGAGGACAGTGCAGAGCTTTCTCCCCCAGTGCAGGTCATTAGGTGTACGCGGTGCCTGCTCGTTAGATGGGGAAGAAAAAAATCATACAACATAATAGCAAAAGTTTGGCTGTGTAGCAGAGGAACTGAATATGCATCGGAGACGCTAAGATGTCAGAAATCTATGCTACTTCTTAGCTCCGAGAAGAAGCCGACACCCCTACCTGCCCCATTTTTAAAGAGCAGAATAGAAGCTTTTTACCAGTTCTGCATATTCACTGCTGATGCACCCATCAAACATCTGAAGTTTGCTGCCTTTCTCGGCCTCAATCACAGCAGGACATAGAATCATAGAATCATAGAATGGTTAGGGTTGGAAGGGACCTTAAAGATCATCTAGTTCCATTTGAGAACTAGAACTAGAACATTTCGAGAACTTCTGCACCAACTAGTGAGAGAAGAGCAGAGCACCGGTCAGTTCCCTGTGAATCCCCATGGGTACGTAGCGCACCGTACGGGGAGACGAGGGAGGTTCGCTGAAGTGTAATACTCCCGAGAGCCTTTAAGCACGAATGTGGCTTTCCATGGGATGCAGCACTCCGCTGAGATCTGCGGTGGTAGCAGGGGCCAGTGAGGTGCCAGAACAAGAATGTAAGTGCTGAAAAGCCCGTCACGGTAAATGCAAAGTCCAGTGAAGACTCCAGCCATGAGCAAGGGCCATGGACAAAGCACACACAGACACATCTGGCTGATACTAGATTTGGAAACGAGGGAGACAGAGCAGGCAGGAGCTTTAGGAAGGTGCAAAAGAACCGCTGTGAGCCGTTGGTTTTCCCACTGGCAGTGTTGGGATTTGAGTTTAAAGGTCACCGATGACAGCCCGGGCTCTTCTGCAGGGCACAAAGCCAGAACCAGTAATTTTGTACCCTATCAGTAACAGCGCGGTCGCACCCAGCCGTTAACCTGAGCAAGGTGGGGCTAACGGCAGTGACGTTACTGAGCATGTCACGCTCCTGAAGGGCAAGGACTTACATAAAAAAGCTAAGGTGTCCCGTACTAGCAAAGGAGTGCGTGACGGCTGCGCACAAACCACAAAGATGTGACTTTACTTTTCTTAGTTGGCTGTTCTGCCCGTTAAGGTAACAACTGTCAAAAAAACCCGGTCTGAGCCACTCTAATAAGCTCTCATGAAAAAGGTGAAAGTGGAGCGATGCTACTGCCACCTCTGTGCTGGATTCAGCCAGGA